GTTCCAGACCATCTCACTCTGGCCTCTAACTTTATCTCCCAATCATTCACTGGAACTGGGAACTCGCGATGTGAAACCTATCCAGAGTAATACCACATTGGGTCCTCTGTAATGGAAATTTTTTATGGTCTTTTTTGGCATTAGCTTTACTTTGTGTTCTAGTTTGAACCTAAAGTACTTCTTTGGTTCAACATGAGACCAATCCCAGGAACATTTATTGTCATCAGTGCCATTTTTTCCAAAGTATTGCCAAGTATTGGTTTTAAAACTTAGTCAAATCAGATTCTTTTTCACAGTTTCGCATTAAAGGACTTTTCTTTTCTGCCATTCCATAAAATGTAAAGACTCGTCTTGAACATTCATCTACATCCTCAAATAGACATTTTAGAAAATATTAATGAAACACGATTTCATTCAAACTGCGTGAATTAAATTTTCACAACTTGGGTAGCTGTCGCTCTGTTGCTACTCTCTCAGTGGATTGCTCGTCTGTCACAGGGCTAACACTTTTAAAAATGACCAGCATTCTTGCCTGAACATGGCGGTGCCATGTCTTTGCATCACTCTCTGAAGGAAAGATGCTGATGGTTTTTCCAGATTCACTCACAATCTTTACCTTTTTAGATGTTCTTCAGTTGGGATTGAACAGTTTGACAGCGTATCTGTTTGTTGCCGTCTTAAAGTGTTTTAATAAAAATGTGTAATTGCAGTTCAATAAAAAGAAAGTTGCTTTATGAATGCCAGGTAAATTATATTATGGTTTTACCACAACCGTGTTGCTCAGGTCTGTTCTAGCAGTAAGCACACCTAAATGTGTGTTCCACAGCTTGGGTGTTCTCTTTATTAGTTTTCTATTCAGGGTAGCGGGGCGATTAAATTGAGCTCAGTCTCCCCACATCACTTCACCTTTTGTTTTCCAGATAGCAATAGCAAACAAGTCACACTGGGGAATGGGAGGAGGGAAATTGTCTCAAATGAAAACACAAGCAAATAACAGCGGTGTCGTATTCGCTTAGCAGTGTGGTCAGCGCATCCGAGCTGTTTGGCAGGTGCATTGTGAAGAAAGGCCTCCAGAGAAATTAGTCATTTGTTAGACATTTATTTAAGTCTTAGGCAGTTGGTTGGCCTTGATTGAATTCTTGGATATTGTTCTCACATCTCAGACAAGAAATTGTTCTTAATCTGGTGGGGAAAGGATTTTTTTTTTTTTGCCAACAATCTCAATGGATTGTCTGCAGCTGCCCAGACTTCTCTCCCGTCACACTTTCAGGTGCCCCAGTCTATTAAACTCTCCTCCTTTTCTTAAAGATGGCAATTAATCTAATTAGTAATCAATCAGCCGTTGGGCCTCCCGCCTCTTCTGTGCTAATGGAGGATATGACAGGCCTGGGCCTTGCATTATTAATACCTCCATTTCAGGAGCCCAGGGCCCCCTTGACGCCTACGGTCAGGGGCCATTGATCACCACCACAACCCAGTGAGCACTGCAAGGACTTTGGGGAATTGTTCTAAATTGGGGAAGTAGGGATTGGGAATGTGGTGTTTTTGGTTTGTGGTGGCATGATTTGGTTTAATGGAATTAAAGACGTGGAAATTATTTTACTGAATTTGCCCAAAACCAGAGATTATGCTGATATAAAAACCCTAATAATGAGGCATTTATCTTTTGGTGCATGAAGTCTCAGTGGAAGCTCTGTGTGCATGTTTGCAAGAGAAGAGCTATTGTTTGAGGGTTGTTAATGGGAACACAGGACTCCAAAAAGCTCATTAGGTAAATGAAGCTCACTTCAAAACTATTATGCCAGGATAAGGGGTCCCTCTGTGGGACTATTTCCAGAAAATGCGATCATAAGTTATAGAATGCCACTAACACGGGGGCACAATGATTGCAGTGTGGCAATGAAACAATCACAGGAACATTATCCTTCATCTCCTGTGCAGTATGAGTGCCTAATCGAATAGGTTCTGCAGCTGAAGTTACAGAGCTTCATAATAGCCCCACCTGCTGATCTCATTTACTATAATCAATAGTGTGCCCACTCTGTTAAAAGCTGGAGCAGCGAATCGCAGCAACACGTCCAAGACATAAACGCAAGGCCATCCTCATCCGGTGTCCTCTTTAGCTGAATCTGCTGACCCTAATTTATCTAACCCCTGAGCCAGAAGCTCTTAATCAGGTTGATTATCCAGTCCACATGTTTTTGAGAACGCGCTGTCTTTTTCTGGGTGATCTGAAATGGACATTTAACAGTATCAGTCATCCTAATGAAAATCCAATTATCTTGTGTTGTAATGCCCAAATTAGTTTTCTATTTGTGACAGGTTTCTAAATCAGCCCTCCTTGTTCAATTATGATGATACGTTTGAATTTTCAATGCGCGTTTGTATTATTTTGATTACATATCTTGATGCATGCTCAATAATCCAGGTAGAAAAATCCAAAAAAGTTCAATCTGGTCCTCTGGACATTCAAAAATTTGAATGTCCAGAGGACCAGATTGAACTATTTTGATTACATTTAAAAACTGGATCCGTCAGATTTTTCTACCGTTAATTAGAAATTTTAAAAAGCACATTTTCAGTGTTTTTATTGAAGACCTCTGTGAACAGATTTTACAGGTTCGTAGGAATGTCGTTTTGTGTTTGTGACTGCTGCTTCAATCAATAGTAATTGTTTGCTAGTGCTTTACACAGAGTGGGTATTTATGTGAGACACGTGAGATAATGTCCGAATGTATAATTGTCCTTTCATTTTGTTTCAGCAGGCTGCTTAATTAAGAGTACCTGCTTAACTTTGACCATATCTGTACCTGATAATCCTCCTTCTGACCTTTGCATTTTGTTTTTCTAGATGATAATGGGGTTCTTTGTTGTTTCAGCATTTCATCCATGCTAAAGTTCTCCTTTATTTATTCTTTGTTGTTGTTCAGGCGGACCACAGGGCTACACTTACTCAGATTTATTCAACATCTAGCCTCCTGTCTGGAACTGTTCTTTATCTAAACCAGTGACGGGGTCGTCCTGCACTGGGATTACCCTGACCAAGAGTTGGATTTATAATCGTTTTAATGTTGGAGGTTGGTACAAGATGAGTCAAAGTCAGAAGGGGATTTTGTGTACCCTCGGGCGATGAGTTTTAAAATGGTTTTGGATATATATATTTTTTTCCAAACCTTGTGGTGTTTGCTTCCTTTAATTTAAATGACTGTTGACAACCCTTTTTCTCTTTGCACCAAGTATAAATTTTAACCTAGATTTAAAAAAAAGTCCTGTCCTTCATGTGACGTTTTAAAGGCTGAACCGAGTCGTAGAAGTTTTGGGTAAATGAGCCTTCTGCTCTTTGCGTTTTAAAGATAGCATCGTACGCCGCCAGGCCCCTTCCCATGACTAAGATGTGCTGTCATTTGACACAGTGACCATAACATTTTTACTAGCCAGCCATGTGTTCAGTTTATTACCGCTTCCCCTTCTTGCTGCCACACGGGTTAAATCGGCACAAAGCGGCATGCTGGAGCTGTCGCACAGCTCTGCTTAATTTACAGAGGGCTGGGGTTGTTAAGAATTTATAGACCTTCAGTGGCTTTATGGTGCTATGATGGGAGTGAGCAGTGGTGTTGAGCTCACAGCAGCTGCAGTCAGCTGCCTCATTCAGGAGGGATTTGGACAGCAGCTCTTCTGCTGGGCTGTGTGAGTTAGTCAGTGGACAGGCTTTATCCATGGCTAAAGTTGTGAGGAATTGCTCTGCGGTCATGATGTTCTTCCTCTTCTCTTCACTTGAACTTGTGGTTGTTGGCGTATGCATGCAGGTTTAAAAAGGCTGCCTCCCTGGAAGTAAGCTCAGTTACAAGAAACCAGTTCCCATTAGTCATCCGCGATCATCATAAATTACTTTAGTGTGCGAGTTTGGGGAGTCCCGAATTTGCAATTATGGACTTACAGGAAGTTCATCAGTCATGTGTGTGTCTGAGTGTGGTGTGGTTTGTCTAGTGGGGGTCTGGGTGAAGAATGATAGTTGATGTGGGGGGCTAATAGACAGAATTGGTCTAAATCCAGCTGTGCTCCAAGAACCCTTTGAGAATAGAAACATCTGAAAAAAAAACACATCGATGTGCAAAATGTGAGAATGAATGAGAAAGCTCTGAATTCACGAAGTATATTTTTATATGTTTAAGAGAAATTAAAAGTCGAAAGTGTTTCAACTTCTTTTGTGGCTCCCCGTAAATCCTAGGTGGAAAAAGTTGCCTTGTTTTTGTGCACAGAAAATATTTTTTAGCGCCATGATTTGAATGTCTGAGAATCTTCAACGACTTCTGCACATCGACACCTTTCGATCACACAGATCTTTGTGTTTTATTGTTGTGGGCATAGTTTAAATGTTGCTGCAGATGTCCTGAAGTATATTAGGTTAACTATTCTGCATAAAACAACAGGCATATTGTTAGACACAAAAACAAGCTTTGGACAAAGTATCTTGTGTTTTGCGTAAGCGTAGGCATGCTACACCGCTGGCTGCGTGTGACTAAGGTACAACTGCTAACAATTGTAGATTTACACAGAGTGTGGGCAGAAGTTTGGACATGGGAATCAAATTATCATGAACCCATGGCCTCCATACGTTTTCAAAACTATCTGATTCAGTGAATGCATTCATTGTCGTAGCAGAGAAAGAGAAAATATCTATTCAAACCTGAATTTGGAGTTTACCCAAACCCTAAAAATCCTTAGTTAGCTGTTTTACTGTCATTGCCAAGCACAGCCCAGCACATCTGGCTGCCTTTACGGCCTCTTTGCTTGTGTTAGCTGTGATGTTATGACAGTACAGTGACTGAGGAGATTACACGAAGAGGACATAAAGCCCCTCTCCATCGGCTCTCTGTGGGTCACTGGCCCCATTTAAGCAAAAAGACACAGATCCCTGAGGTCTTTAGGCAGAGTGCTTGCAGTCCAGCTGTTCTTATTGTGTTGTCCATTCTCATGCTGTTTTCTGTTTGCTCTCACAGGAACTTTGTTGAAGGCTGAGCACTCCTAAAGGGGGAACCTCTAAGGAGTTTTTCACCTCTAACGTCCCACCAACCACGCCATATTCATCCTTTATTTGCTGAAAGTGCTTCCTCGGAGGAGCAGAGAGAACACAGTGTTGGATCGGAGAACGTGACCAAACTGTAAGAACACTTGAGTTTTTTTTTTTTTTTTTTTCAATTATATCAACATACATGAGGTTTTTGCTTACTTTTTGCACATTCTCCAAATTGACCTTATATCTCCTCGAACTTCTTGGCTCTATCTGTGCATAATACTAGTAGTTTCTCTGCAACTTCAGAAAGCTTCTATAAAATAAATACTAGCAAGAATAATATAAAATGTAATGTTTGCTAATTTGAATGGGGTAGAGGCAGGGCCTTCCGACTCAGGACCCGAAAATCCCTGGTTCGATTCCCAGTCATTGCACATCTCACGGTGTCTCTGAGCAGGACACCCTATCCCCAATTGCTTCCAGGATTCTTTCAATAGCTGCCCACTGCTCCACCTGGGGGTGAATGGGTTAAATGCAAAGAGCCAATTTCGCCATTGTATGGGAACATACAATGATGACAACACCATCCACCCATCATCTTCCGCTTGTTCCTAAGTCGGGTCATGGGGGAAGCAGCTTGAGCAGGGAAGCCCAGACATCTCTTTCCACAGCCATCTCTTCCAGCTCCTCCTGGGGGACTCCAAGGCTTTCCCAGGCCAACTGAGATATATATAGTCTCTCCAGCGTGTCCTGGGTCTTCCCCGGGGTCGGTCTCCTCCCAGTCGGACATGCCCAAAGCACCTCCCTAGAGATGTGTCATGGGAGTGTCCTTACCAGATGCCTGGACCACCTCGACTGGCTCCTCTCAATGTGGAGGAGCAGCTGTTCTACTCTGAGTCTCTCCAGATAACTGAACTTCTCATCCTAACTCTGAGTCCAGCTACCCTGTGGAGGAAACTCATTTCAACGTATATTCACTATCCATAGTCCGTGACCATAGGTGAGGGTAGGAACGTAGACTGACCGGTAAACAGAGAGCTTTGCCTTACAGCTCAGCTCCCTCTTCACCACAATGGACCAGTACAGAGTCCGCAATACTGCAGACGCTGCACCAGTCCCTCTGCCAATCTCACGCTCCGTTCTTCCCTCACTCGTGAACAATGACAACAAATGATGACAACACCTAACACATTATTATTATTATTATTATTATATAAACTTTGCATTAAGACCACTCAAACACAGCTTTGACTGTGTGACAACTTTATGACAACATAAACAGACACACACATGCTATCAGATTCAAATTGAGCATTTTTTTTTAATCATTTGATGATTTTATCTCAGTTTTATAAGTTTGTCTCTTGGGACTTCACATATTTGGCTGCATATAATATTCTGTTTAGTAGAAATAAGTACAAATTATTTTTCAATCCGAACATAAAAATCTTTTTCAAAAACAAAATGTAGAAGAGCAGAAAAGTTAATGACCGTTCCTCTTAAATGTGTCACATTTCACACAGTTCTGCTGGTTTCTGATAAATATTTTTTTTAAATGGCAACACGTTTATTTGCTTTAGTTTAGAATTCACACATTTGAGACTCATATTGGCCGCAATATTGAGAAAACACTCGTTAGCAGCCTGCGTGTTGGCAGAGCAGGACAGAATTTTTTTTCCGCAAAAGATAAAATATTAGTTTTTAAGCACAGCTGTTTAACACAGACCCTCATAGACAGATACGTAAAGAAATACACAAATATACGCACACATGCAGGAGCTTTGTCCTGGTGATCTCTTCGTTTCTGTGATTTGCCTCATTGAATGTTCACATTGAGCTCTTGTTCTCTTTATTCATGCCTCCTTTCAAAGCTTCACTGTTCTGTGATCCCTCTTTTGGCTGGCTTTGCCGCACAGGACCAATCTAGAGAGTTCTGCATCAGTCAAAGTGAATAGAAGCCCACAAAGTTGGCAGTGCACTCTGCTGACAGCAGGGAAATGATACATGATAGCAGGTGATAAAGGGCTGCTGTGAAGGAATGAGGTGTTGGTGTTGAACTGTATCACTGGCATCGTGAAGGGCCCCGATGTCATTATTTTGTGCCTGTCATTACCAATGACACAAAGACGCATCAAAGCAGGTTGAATGGAACAGAATGGCAGTCAGTGCGCGTGCACAAGCGTGAAACACGATCAGACCACTGAGCTGAATAGAGGTTTTATTGTGCCAAATATGTGAGAGAGGGGAGCGAAGGCAGAAAGATTGAGGGGCATTGCTTTCATATCTTGTCACCCACTCACTTAATAATGCGGGCGGCATGTCCTTGTCACTGTGAAAGAAGCATAGTTTGTATGTATGAGGATGTGTTCATGGCCCACAGCTTTTCTTTGCCAGGACAACAAAGATCTTTGTTTACTAAACTGGAACTTCAGAACGTTTCTAGAAAAACCCTGCCCTCTGTCCAACATGATCAGAATTAAACTCTCAACCCTTCCTGACTGCTTTGATAACTAATGTTAATTGTTCACAAGGTAATTGTACGTCTTCAGTTTCTTTGGGAAGCCGTATGTAGTCCGTGCTCCTCGTGTTTGCATCAAGATTTATTTCTTAATTGGAACAGCACTAACAAATATAGGAGGTTAAATGTTTTGCACGTGGGTTTTTGGCAATACAAGTATCAAAAAGCACAGATAGGAAAGTTTGGCAGAGAGAGGAGAAGTCTTGGCTCTGAATTAAATTCAGATTTTTGCTCCTATGTGGTCAACACTTGAGTCACCAAGACGCCCTCTGCGTACATTTCGTCTTCTTTGCCCTCTGATAAACTCCTGTTGGCCTTTTCGTTGCTCGCTCCGAGGGATTGAGCATTTCTTTTCTTTTTCTCTCTGTTTTTATCTCCAAGCTGTGCTTCCATTCAATGTTAAATGAGGGCATTGCCACACTTGGATGTGCAGTGACAAATTGGCACAGAGGAGGCAGATGGTGATGGGGAGGAGGCTGGTTGTCATGCCATTTGCCTCAGCGACATGAATTGATCTCTGTGCCGCTGAGCAACCACACATGTCCCACTTGTGTAATCCTGACTTTGGATTCTTTGTATACACACACCAACAAACTCTCCTCGGCATACCTTCTCCCCTACGCCAGCGTTCGGTTCCCATTAGTATCGATGATGTGTGCAGTGGAGGCGTTCGCTTACTGTCAGAGGGTCTTCACTTAGATCTGCTCGTAAAGCCAAAGGGATGCTGAGGGATTTGACAAAGTGACAGGGCTTAGACTAATGGTTGGCTGCTGGGACCAGGGGAGCCCTAATGCACAACTTATAGATACATAGCATCAGTGGTGTCGTGTACGAGACCGCAGGCTGTTCTATTTACAGAGCTGCTTTCTTTACAAAGTTTACCCAAAAGGCTTTAGATGAGCTCGACTACAATCCCCGTGTGTATTTTTTACTACTGTGTGAATTTCAGGAAGATTATAGTTTGTCTGACAAGGACTGGCATTGCTCATTAGGCCAAATCCCAGGATATGAAACTGCTCCCCAGTTAGGTTTTCTTAAACAAGAGATTGTTCTGGTTTTTAAAAATATGCTTAATTGGCCAAGATTATCCAGGACTGCATTAGGAATACATTCAGTATTGAACATTACTTTACACTGAACTCAACTATCGTTGGCTTTCATGACTGTTTTGGCAGAAATTGTTACGTTCACAAAGTTTAGCATGAAGACAGTTGCTATATGATCAAATAAAACCAGCAACACTAAACGACTGATAAACCAGTTAAACCCCCCAAATTGTTTGTAGATTAACTCCATATGTTTCAGTTTGATTGCAGTGAATGTGTGAAAAAAGTTTGTTTGAAGAAGCAGCACAGAATGTCTCCCCAGATTTTTATTTTTTTTAATAAGTTCTAGGATGATTAAGGTCTACAGTACAGTGAAACTCATCCCGACTTTTGGAAGTACGTAAATAGAAAAGTCTTCGCTTCAGCACATGAATTTCAAATGCAATATTTAAAAAAATTATCAGCAACTTGAACTCTGGGTTAATTAAACATAATTCTCATTGATGGCTTATTTTGAGGAAGATGAGGTATAATTAGATGAGCAACGTTGATCTGCAAAACTAATTTTAAAATCGTGTAAAAAACAATAAGATCATGAAACTTGAAAAACACAAATCAAAGTCCAAACAACTCTCCACAACCATGGGTCAATTTTCAGCTGCAATTTTAGCTGCAAGACGTCTTGCTTAACAGAAAATGGTCAAAATGGTATGTATTTGTAAAAAAAAAATCTAAAATTTATAAAGCTAAGAGCCAAAAGAAAGAAGTTGGATGGATGGATGGATGGATGGATGGATGGATGGATGGAAAAAATAATTACTATCACTTCCTCCAGGAAATAGATGACACCATAGTTCTTCTGTTACTGATGGATTTATTCATTTGAAAGGCACTTATAGTCATCAAATTAACTGCTCAAAATACATGATGTGCAAAATATACATATTCATATACTGCACACAAATTTACTATAAATGTACAACTAAACATAACAGAAATAAACATGCCTCGCTGGCTGCACAGAACTAAAGAGGGAATGAGTCCGCTGGAACAAAAGTAAATCTTGAGTAACCTCTTACACCTTTGGGCAGAGCATCAAACTTTTCCTGCTGCGCATGCTTTCTTGGATGAGGGTTGCAACAACTCAAGTGTCCCCAGTGCAACATAGCACTGAAAAATGGTTCCTACACAGTGTAACTTACAAACAAATCAATATTCAAAATAAATAATGTAAACCACACATATCAAATAATGACATAAATAATGTTTATGGCAGTTAAAACTACTAAATATATCAATTGTATTTGGTCACTTGCCAAATTTATTTTCTCAAATAAACTAACACTTTTCAGTTTGTGGACAGAAGAGTGGGTTGATCGCCTAAATCACTGATGCAAAATGTTGCCAGGATTGTTTACGATTCAGAACATTTTATAACCCTATGCATGGGATATTGATCAGCACATGCAGTTTATTTCCTACTTTTCTAATGGGCATCTGTAAAACAATTTAACATTTTTTATTTTTCTCCAATCATTGATCTTCAGTTTTATTACTTTATAACCTTTTCAGCCTTTTATTTCT